CGCTTCCTCTTGCGTAGCTGAGCCACATTTGGCTTGATGGAGGAAGCAGTTGAGACCCTCATTATGGCTTGAAGATGATCATCGGTAAGTTTGGTCCTGTACTTGGACTTCTTGAAGTTCAAGGTGGAGAAGACCTTTTCGCACAAGTATGCGCTCCCAAAAAGGCACATTGTCCGCTTGAACATTCGGGAAAGCTCAGGGAAGCTGGGGGTCAATTCTCTCAAAAATTGCCCAAGCTTGTCTGCTTTTCCACTCACCTCCCTGAACTTTGCTTTGAGTTCAGAGTTGCACTGCAGGTCAATGAGCTCCATTTGAAGCATAGGAGGGGCATCTTGCACATCAAAGGAGAAGGGGTCTGCAAAAATTTGAAATGTGGCTCTGTGCGTCCAGAAGGGGGGCCCTCTCCCTGCCCGGCAGTCTTCTCCCTCAGGGGTTTGGCGCCACCAGGGCTTCTGCTTTTAGGGCTCTGTCTCCCCCCGCTTTTCGTGGGTCACCTGGCGAGGTTGCTGCTGCTGTCGCCTCGTCATCTCTGCACTTCTCCTTCCCCCTCCCCTGTCTGGCGCACACACGCCCCTAGCAGCTGCATGCACCCCTTCTGCAAGGCTGGCCCCATCAGCAATCTCTCCCCCCTACCCAAGGACTAATGGGGCTTCCTGGGGCTTCTTGATTCCCACTCTGGCAAGATGCAGTGGTGTTTGCTCAGTGTGACTCAGGGAGACGGGGGGAACGCGCACGAGAAGGCTGATCACTCAGCAGCACCCACTCCCGCGGCACATCTGGACAGGGAGCGGAGGATCGCAGAGAGGACGAGGCGACAGCAGCAGCAACCTCACCAGGTGACCCACGAAGAGCAGGGGGAGGGAGAGAGAGACCTAAAAGCAGAAGCCCTGGTGGCGCTGAACCCCTGAGGGAGAAGATTGCCTGGCAAAGAGAGGGCTTGCCTTCTGGTCGCATGGGCGCTTCGGGGGACAGGCAGGATCCAGCCCCTACGAGGTGGGGAGGAAGCCCCACGCTTGCTCCTGCTCCTTAAACTTTCATATTAAAGCAAGGGCCACAAACTATCATCCCATGGGCCGCAATTGGCCCCTGGGCTGCATGTGTGAGACCCCTGGACTTGAAGAAGGTGCCTAGGAATAATGTATTCTGTATAATGGAAACAGAAGTACAATCCCTTCATATTCTATGACAGTTACAGTTGCTATCTTTAGCTGTGATGACAGAAGGATAGTTGTTTTCTTTCCCCTCAGAATGAAGCATTTTGTGTCTATATGCTAGCTTCCATGTAGCATATGAGTTTAGTCCACCGTTTCTAACTACACTTTTATGTGGGTGGGTAGAAGCAGAATGTCAGTTTAAATTCCCAGATAATGTTATGCTATATGGCACAACCTCTCTTCAGTATATTTTGCTCAGATACATTTGGATCACACCCTGTAAATAACATATTTTTCTAATGATATTGGAGTGCAAATGAGATGTCTGTTGATTATATATCGTTTGAAGAGGCGGTCTTTATATCAGGCACTTCTGTATTTGAAGACTTAGCACAAGATATAAAATTGGAATTGCTCTTTATTGTTTTCCTTGTCTTCTAAAACATAATGGCAGTCTTTATAAGACAGCTTATTATTGCAAAAATATTTGCATTAGTAGTTCCTTAATCAAGGTGTGGAATTAGATAGTCGTAATTTTTGTATACTGAAGGAGTTGTTTTATGTTTAAAATCCATTATTTCTGTAGTAGCTAAAGAGCATGGACTTATTTTGAATTTTTAAATAAAGTTTAAAAAATGCAGTTTGCTCAAAATATGCCTAGCTTTCCTTGGTTTCCCTGAGGAAGAATGAATATCACAATGTCATTGCAAATCATCTTTAATATAATTTATATTTAAATTTTATTCATATTTGAAACACCTAAGAATAAAAATTTTCAGAAGGAGAAAGGAAAGACATAAGGTTTCCTTCTAGTAGTGTTGGTTTTCTGAGAAAGGAGGTCCTGAGAGAAATTGTATTAAAGTTATACTAGCCATGTGTTCCCTTTTTTCTTTCATTACAGAAAGATACCACACCTTTTCTTTTTCTTCTTTTCACCAAGATAAATCCTCCTGCAAAGTTATGCAAATGGTGTAACTTTTGGAGATAGGTTGCCCCAAATAAGAAACTGATGTAAACCTTTTAACTTGCTTGCTGAGCTGTACACCTCAGTATGCAACTGATCATGTTTATGGTAGTGATTTCTGCCTCCAAAGGTTATGGAGTTAGTGCTATGTCTGCATAACTAATAGGATTTGGACCATTGAATCACTTACTGATTACATTTATATTCCAGTGCTCATGGTCTCTTATCCTGTTAGGTAAGTTAGACGGAGAGATGGGCCATGTCACCCAATGAGCTTCTTGGTTCAGCAGGGATTTTAACCTAGGTATTTCTTCCCATTGTATAATTGTACAAAATGTCCCCTAAAATGTCAACAGCAGTGTTTATACAGGAAAAGATGCCACCTTTACTTACTCCTTCCAATTATCATAAATGTCTGATTACTGTAGCTCAATCCTGTGCATTTGTACCCAATGTTAAATCTAAACATATCTTTGGGGCATACCATTTCTAATTTAAGAAACTAAGCTCATTATATTTGCAAAGGCTTTCACGGTCGGGATCTAATGGTTGTTGTGGGTTTTTCGGGCTCTTTGGCCGTGTTCTGAAGGTTGTTCTTCCTAACTTTTCGCCAGTCTCTCTGGCCGGCATCTTCAGAGGACAGCACTCTGCTCTGGTATAGTTGACTTGGGAGTGCAGTATTTATGGCTGTGAGATAGGCTTTTGTCTTTTTCTGTAGATGGGTGATTAGTGTGTCTTGTTGTGGGTGTATTGTTGTGCTAAGGAGAAGAGATTATCTGTCACTGTGGTTGATGGGTGTCATTAGCTAGTCTTTTGTGTGTAGTGATCCCCTGTCCTTGTGGTTGGGTAGAGTTCGTTGACCTTTTGCACGCTGTATTTTTGAGAGCTGGGAGCCAAGTTTTGTTGAGCTTCACCCTTTCCTCTTTTTTGTTGAAGTTTTGCTGGTGCTTGTGGATTTCAATGGCTCCCCTGTGCAGTCTGACGTAATGATTGCTGGTGTTGTCCAGTATTTCAGTATTTTGAAATAGAATTTCATGTCCAGTTTGTTTTAGGGCATGTTCAGCTACTGCAGATTTTTCTGGTTGTTTTAGTCTGCAGGTCTCTCATGTTCTTTGATTCTAGTGTGGATGCTTCGTTTTGTGGTTCCAATATATACCTGGCCACAAAGGACAGAAGGGACCCCCTCACCACTGCAGGAGTATACCGGATACCTTGCAGTTGTGGCCAGGTATATGATCTCTAGCTTTAAAGTGTCATAATCTCTGAGATAAGGGCATGTGAATCAGTTTGTTAAAAGGGTTACAGTGAATTCATCTTCTTCTAAAATGTTAATGTTCCAACATATTCTGCTTACATTAAATCTAAACATAGAATTTTAAAATATGTGTTAGGTTGGCGAGAATCTGTTGATACTTAACCTGTAAAAATGTGTCTATTAATATATAAAGCAGCTCACAAGGTAACATGAGATCCTCTTTTCTTATCATTCAAAATTCATGCTTTGAAATTCTCAAAAGATTGTTTCAGAAGCGTCTATAATTTTGTTTTCTAAATTTATTCTGTTGATTTGAAATCAAGAACCTTTAAAATGGTAGGTTTCTCAATATGAATATAAAGAAAGCACTTTCAGTTAATAATAACATTTCTGTTGCTTTGAGCACATGATCCACTTTATGTAATACACCCACAGACTGCTTCTGCCACTCAGCAGATTGAAATCAATGCTGTAAATTCAGCTCATTGGAGGACCTTTTCTCTTTAAGATTTCATTTTTGTTAGTGTTTGTTAAGATCCTAAAGTTCTGCCTGTCTTGCAGCAACAAATATGTTTCTGGTAAGTGGATATGAATTAGTTATAGTGTGCTGCCTCTTTAAAAGCTTGCTTCATTTTTAAAGGTTCCCATCAGAAAAACTTCATGCCTGCAGTTGAGACTTTTCTGAATGCAGTAAGGTACATCTGAAAGCAGTTAAGGGTTTGGAATTGTTTATTTTCCTACATTGTTAGTCATCAGTGCCAGTATACTAGTTTCCTTGTGGCTTTTAGTGGAAAATGTTAAAGGCTCAACAGAATTTTAATGTTTGAACTGAATTAGTCACACAGAACAGGAATGAATATTCTGTGAGGGCTGTCCAAAAGCTGCTCCCCCTTCCCTCCTCCCCTTCTACAGGAAGTTGCATCCAGAGCGGTAGCTCAGTTCTTTGGTAAGTGTAACATGTGAGCATTACTAGGCATTTCATCCTGCGGATCTGCAGTCTGTGCTGTTTAGATTATTGCTTGGTAGGAATACTGCTGCTGGTTGGATTTTGTTAAGGTGTTCTTCAAAGATTTTTTTTAAGGCACTAGGTTTTTCTATTGCTTGTAATGTCATCTGCATCAGAAATCCTGAATTAGTGACAGAAATTTGGATAAATGCAGCATTCAGCTTGTCACCTAGAAGCTCAGCATGGACACAGATCTTCAAATAGAGAACTTGGCAGAAGATAATGCTTGGAACCTGATTTTTAATCTTATCACCCTGCTTTTTTTACATTGGTCTGAATGAAGGCTATAAGGGGAGGTCTGTTCATACAGTGATCAAAAGAAGCACTCGAGTGATGAACCTGGAAGAAGAGTCTAAAGCAATAATTCAACTGCTTGTGCTTTGGTATTTTGCTAAAGTATTTTGTCATTTTGCCTTCCGTGTTCCCTGTTGGAGCAGCTAGAGCAACGGCCTGATGGTGGAGAACAAATGTTCTGCTTTGCTTTTCTGACTAACGGAGTAAAGGACTCTTTGTTACATTCTCTTGGGGAATCTGGATCAAACAAGCAATATTATTATTTGAGTCTCATTGTCCTTTGTTGTCTGACTCATCACATGTAAATGTACTGCAGCCTAGCAGTATGTTGCAGGGATTTTTACACAGAGAAGAAATGTCACCCTTGGAGCTCTAGTTCTGAATAGCTGCTAATAGATTACATTTCTGTGGTGAATTTCTAATAGAAAGGCAAATGAAATTGCTGATTGTAGAATTATTATGAACCAGAACACTTGGGGCAGTCATGTATGCATTTTTAAAAAATAGAATACCTGCTACTGTTAACTGAAGACTGACCTTGCTGTGTGGTGAGAGCAGTGATAATCTCTGCCAGAGCAATTGTCTCTTATTTCATGCTGCACAGAATGGTGTTAGGTTGTCTGTAAGAATGATATTACTGTTTTGATAACTGCATTTTCTAAACATCAAAGATCCGACTGGATTGGTTAAAAGTAGAAAATATTTGTACATACTGCCATTATTTCTACTTTGGTATTAATTTAAAACTGCCAATTTAGTACTTGAGTGTTATAAAATAAGAGCAGAACTACTTTATGGACTTTTTGGGAAATTTAATTAGCTGAATATCTCAGGTTACTGAATTTGACAAATAAGTTATAGTTCAGTTGCATTACTTAAAGATATAACAGCAATACTTTTTGTAAATTATGTTTAAGAGGGAAAGAACTTTCTGTGCTATCTTAGCTGTCATTAGAACAAAGCTGTTACGAATCTAGTTTTTCTTCTTCTAACGGATCGAATGAGTCGAGTGTGTATTGTTGTTTTGGAGGAGGTGGAAGATGATTCTCCCACATCTGTTTCCAAACTGCCTCAGGAAAGCATAGCTCTATATCGTTCACGTGCAGGACATGGCTTGGTAAGAGGCTGCTTCTAAATATGTCCTATTTTACATTGTGTTTAAAGCTCAAATGAGAGTTGTCATAAATATACCTGGAACAGGGAAAGGGTATCTGCTATTTATTTTACTTAAACAGTGAACATAATGATGTAATTTTACTTCTGGATAAAATAAATAAAATATAATAGATGACATAAATTTTATAGACAGTTTTTTCCCCTTTTTGAAGAGTATTCTGAACATTGTCTTCAAAATGAATAGTGATAAAATACGGTGAATATTCTACGTTTGGCTAGATAGATAACTGTTTTTATAGCAATTGTTATGTCAGAATTAATATAATATGCTCTATAATAAAGCAAATTCCATTCTTAAGATATGGTCATATGATACAGGATTACTATTCCACCCACACATTTGTAATAGCTGAATGGTTTTGATTAAAAATTGAGTTGTTTTATTAGTCAAATGATGTGGAGTTATTTTTAGAAATGGGAGAATGTATCACTAGACCATTTAAATGCATTATATTTCTTATCTTGCCTATCACAATAACAAAGGGCAAAATCTGTTGGACTGGCTTAATGAGAATGGGCACTAATATTTAATCTATGCTAATTAAAAACGTCCTATTCCCCTATTTTTGCTTGTGAGGTTACCTTGGCTCCCTTTTGCTCTGGGAAGCCTTTGAGAGTCTCAAGGAAATGTGTTTCAGAAATCAAAAATCACTGCTGGAGTGTTGCCACTAGAATTTGGACTACTGCTGCTTGATCCAGTAGGAATTTTTGACTTCTAAATCTCCCTCACCACCATTCTGAGGTTCCCAAAGGCAGGAGCCTGAGGTAGCCTCAGAACCTAAAATGTGGGGGATAAGCTTTGTATTAGCATAAATTATTTCCATTGTCTGATCTGAAATGTGCTGGCACAAACCTACACAAGAAGATTTTGCCCAGTGTGTACATGTTCATATGATGTTTGTTTCTTATGCCTTATTTAACATGTAATTGTTAATACTGGGCAGTTCTTTCCCTATGGCAATATGCAATGTTTACCCTCATAAGAAGTAGTATATTTTCCTTTTGTCATGATGATTGTTACAGTTGTTTATGTAGAAAAATGTTCTATAAGACTAAAGATAGATTGCAAATAAAATATTTTTTAAAATGTGAAATGATTTTCTTAATCATGGCTCAGTACATGATACAGTATACCTGCTCTGAAGTTAAAATTCTGCTTTTTCTTTCTTTCAGCCTCTACTTGTTCAAGCTATTTTTAATGGGGACCCTGATGAAGTTCGTGCACTAATTTTTAAGAAGGAAGATGTCAACTTTCAGGTAAAAAGGCTTATGATTTTATTGCTAGATTTAAATTTTGTATTATTAATGTACTTATCTGGTATTCCTTACATTTTTTGTAAAATTACTGGCTGAAATCCATTGCTTAGTGTAGCAAGTTGCATCTAGAGTAAATCATGGAACTTACAAAGGCATTGTCTTCCCAAATTCTTACTGATTCAATGGGCCTACTTTAGTTCTGAATTACTGCACTAATCAGGAGGATTTTGGCCATTGATTTTATAAGTAAAATTAATCCTACAGTGATTTTTTGTGGGTTGTTTTACTTACATTTTGTGATGAACAAATGAATCTTGTAACAGCAGTTGCCTGGCTTTCTTGTTTTTAAAGTTTTTAAGTTCTTTTAATCTTTTAGATACATAAAATTGCAGCAGAGTTGACATTTTAACGTGACTTCTCCAGTCCATACCACTGAGTAGCTCACATCTATTTATAACACGTCCATGTTGACATTCTAGTCATGCTGTTTTATTCCTTTCATAAAAGCAAGGACAGACAAGGAAGAGCAAAGTTTCAAAATATTTAGGTTTTTAGAAAGCCAGAAAATTTGATCTAAGTTTTTAAAATGATTCTGCTTTGCCCAGTGTATTCTTTGTGTGATCCATTCTTTGGCCATTGGATAGGCTCCTTTTTCTGATGGGCGAAAGAAAAGGAAGCTTCCTAATGTGAAATCATTTTCATGGCCTTCAAGAAAGTTCTCAGCAGTTCTAGTACATTGAGCATGAATCAACAAAAGATCTGCATCAAATATGTGGTACAATGGAATACTGCTTTTCTTTTTCCAGTCTTTCCATTCCTGCTCCCTTACAGTTTCATGTCTAATACAGAAAGTGATCTTTGCTCAATAGCTTCATATCTGTAGCCATTGGGCTGTTCTGAGATTTTTTCAGAAAAGTTCTGGTCTTTCTCATCTCTTAAAACTTGGGGTCCTCTGGAGCATGCTGTGGAGATTATTATTAAGGCTATGTAAATATAGATAAATGATGATAGAGCTATGTTATTCCTATAGCAAAAGTCCTGTACATGTGTGTACTTAGAAGTTACCCTACTGAGCTCCCCCCCTCGGTGAGTTTAAATATGATTGTTAGTCATGTTGTTATAGTGGTATTGATTCATATTTTGTAGTATATCAGTCTACTCAAATAAAAGCACCATTAAATTTAGTGGAACTTCCTCCCAGGAACATGTATTTAGGATTGTGGGGTTATTCTGTCAAGATCAAGTGTAATATTAGATACTAACCAGATATTTGGCCAATGGGAATAGACTGCTTTTTGTTCTGGGTTATAGCAAATATGTCAGGTAAACAGCTTTGCAAAATAAAATGCTAGAAATTTGGTTTATATAATAGAAAAATATTGGTAGTTGAGATAGAATTACACATACTTTTCATTTTTTATTTTCTAGTAATTAGTACAAAACATGACTTCTTTGTAAATGAAGTAACTTGTGTTATGAGTTCTTGAAGGCTTTCACAGCCGGGATCCGATGGTTGTGTGGATGTTTTGGGCTGTTTGGCCATGTCCTGAAGGTCCAGAACTAACTTGTGTTATGTTGAATATTAGTTCTAAAAAGCATAACGAAAAAACATATGAAATAAAAAATTAAAACAATATTGTTCATTAGATTTTCAAATCATTCTGTAGAAAAAAGTTTCAGATATAAAAATTAGTGCACAGTAATGTTATTAGACTTACATAAATGTACAGCCAAAGACATGGAAATGATACGTGGTTGCAGTAAAGTGGGTTAGATGGGCTGTTCTGGTTGAATTAATTTTCCATGCCATTATAGATTATTATCAAAGCAACATTTGAGATGTTTTTGATTTAACTCTTGCAACATGTTGCAGTTTAATAAAAACATTCCACCACTCCATTCACACTACAATTCACATTCTAATGTAGCATTTTAGATTTCGATTGTGCAGTGCATTGTATTTTGGGGAAGATAAGTAGTATTGATGCACAAACTGATGCTGTTAACACAAATCAGAATTGACTGTCCATTTGGTTCCTACAAACATTGCTAATAGTTGGAGCCTAGTGACCTAATTCTTGTTGTATATTATGATATATGTGGTAACTGCACAGATCTTCTGTGTTTGGGAATCTCTGTTCATTTTGTTGGATAAAACCAATGTAGATGAATGTTGATACAGTTTAGTTCTTTCTTGTAACATATGCCAAGTTATTCTTGAAAAATGAGTTATGCAGTAATACCCCACTTAATACTGCTCAGTTAGCATTGCTTCCTTATAACCTATTTTTTACTACCCTCTCAAGAGTCAGTCGGTCAGCTATTCTTTGACTGGAGCAAATTGCCCCTCGTCTCCCTCTTTACTTCTCTCTCTCTCTCTTTGTTTTACTTCCACCCCCACCCTCAACTCACACACATTTTCCCAGACAGAAGCATATGTGCTGTCCACATAAACACACATGCAGCCACAAAGCATGCAGGAAAAGAGTGGTCTGTGAGTAGGCAGTTCTCTTACAACCCCCCTCACTTGCCAGCCTCTCACCATGCAGTAAAGATGGTAAAGACTGAGCGCATGAAGCAGCTCCTGTAGCCCCTTATTTTCTCTTTCCCCCTTTGCCTCTTTCCATGCTCACTCCCTCTTTCTACTTCTCCTTCTGTCCTTTTCTCTCTCCTCCTTGTACAGTGCCACAGAACTTTAATTTGTATTTTTATTATACAATAAAGTATAATGTTATACGAACCCCATTTACCACTGTTTCAGTTAGCGCTGTACAATTACAAATGTATCTTGAGTGCTAATGAAAGCATTATCGTATTTTCATATCAGAATTCCCAAGTCTAAAAATATTTTAGATCAGCTTTGTGATGTTTAGTTTTGGGGAAATGTTACATTCTTTTTATGTTTGATTGGCACTAGAGCTGTGACAGCTTGGAATAAGTAACTGAGTCTACATGAATATATGTTGGACATATCTCTGAAAACAGGGGTTTTCCCTCTACTTCACCCCATCAATAATGAATAAAACTTCAGAAATCCATAGGAATGGTAGTATATAAAATTGATGTAGTTGGATAAAGATGCCTACAAGTACACTTAATTCCTAAGAAAGGGAGATCTGCGCATGCGTCGACGAAGCTAGACGCCTTTCCATCGCCCTCCAGGAAACTTACAGATAAAACTATAATACAACCAAACAATTGAAAGATAAGCCTGAAGGAACTTTTGAGGAGGTTCCGGAAACTCAGCTACAAACTTTCCCTTGACTTGGTGAGTTTTTCCTTGCTAATTACAAGCAATAATACTCACCGCGAAAACAACAAAACAACATAACAAGCATAATGGCGACAAAACGTGAAGTTAAAGAACTGTCGGAGTTGATAACTAATATGGAGAAAAATATTAGACAAGACCTAAAAGAGTCTACATGAATATATGTTGGACATATCTCTGAAAACAGGGGTTTTCCCTCTACTTCACCCCATCAATAATGAATAAAACTTCAGAAATCCATAGGAATGGTAGTATATAAAATTGATGTAGTTGGATAAAGATGCCTACAAGTACACTTAATTCCTAAGAAATGTTAATGTTCTTTTGCTCAGAATCCTGTTCTTGAGAGGAAACAATTCTGTGACTGTACAGGATGTGTGTTGGTATATTTCCCCTCCAGATGCATCCCCTTCTGCCCCATCAAATATTGTTTTTGAGGGTCTTTTGAACTTCAAGGCTGGCCCTTGACAAAGGGAGGTATGGTAGCAAGGGAGGCTGGAAAAATCTAATGGGCCTACATTATGTTTGGCATACATATTTTTCTGTTCTGATTGTTGTGCCTCTGCAAGTATATCAGACATCTGATACTGTTAATGCTCATGTAAAAGAATAATCTGTTCCTGTTAGAGCTTACATTTGTAAGTCTGCCTCTGTACTGAAGAATATTTCTTCCTTAATTGTTTGCCTCATATTTGTGGCTGGCAGTATGTTGATTCTGAATTGAATATAGAGAAAAGAACAGTCTGTGAAGTTGTTTGTGGACACCCTGGATAAAGTGTCAGGTAGCTAATGAGAATAGCAATGTGTCTTCTTGATTTCTGCAGGATTTGAGTTCAGTAATGCCAATTAACATTTTGTTGGAATTATCTATGTTATTCATTTATAACTATTGAGATGAAAAAACAAACAGAACTAAAAGACACTGTGTAACCAACCATCTATGTGAATTATGAATAAAGGTAAAGGTTCCCCTTGACAATTTTTGTCCAGTCGTGTTCGACTCTAGGGGGCGGTGCTCAGCCCCATTTCCAAGCCATAGAGCCAGCGTTTTGGCTGAAGACAATCTTCCGTGGTCACATGGCCAGTGCGACTTAGACACAGAACGCTGTTACCTTCCCACCGAGGTGGTCCCTATTTATCTACTCGCATTTGCATGCTTTTGAACCGCTAGGTTGGTGGGAGCTGGGACAAACGACGGGAGCTCACTCCGTCGCGTGGATTTGATCTTACGACTGCTTGGTCTTCTGACCCTGCAGCACAGGCTTCTGCGGTTTAGCCCACAGCGCCAACACGTCCCTTGAATTATGAATACTATCACTAATTTCTGGCACAGAAGAGAAACCTTTCTGAATTTGTTACCAAATTAATGTTTGTAGCCAAAACACAAATTTTTATTTCCTTTCTGATATGAAGATGGTAATGAATGTTACCATCTCCTATTAGCAAATCATTTCCTTCTATACAGTAGGACCCTCATATCTGTGGAAGATAGGTCCCTCCCCATGGATATGTGAAACCATGGATAGTAGCAAACCCATTAAAGGTAGCGCACTGCGGGCTGGGTTACAGCAGTGGTGACCTCAGCTGACCTCAGGCTTCCTGGATATGGGAGTCATACTGTATAACAAACAGTGTTTGCTCCAGTTTATATGAAACGTCTGTGAGATATTTTCCCAATGTGAGAGAGTAGATAAGCTATCAGAACTGTTTAAGGCTACAATTGAGCACA